CCATAAGAGATATATATATATAATCAGTGTGTATCAGTGTGGGTACCTGCAGAGGATTCAGTTGACCCTTGAGCAACATGGATTTGAACTGTGTGGGCCCACGTATACACCCCCATTTTTTTTTTTTTTACAGTACAGTACAAAAACATATTTTCTCTTTCTGATGATTTTCTTTTTTTTTTTAAAGATTTTATTTATTTATTTGAGAGAGAGAGAATGAGAGACAGAGAGCAGGAGAGGGAGGAGGGTCAGAGGGAGAAGCAGACTCCCCCGCTGAGCAGGGAGCCCGATGCGGGACTCGATCCCGGGACTCCAGGATCATGACCTGAGCCGAAGGCAGTCGCTTAACCAACTGAGCCACCCAGGCGCCCCATCTGATGATTTTCTTAATAACATTATATTTTCTCTAGCTTACTTTATTGTAAGAATACAGTATATAATAGAACGTACAAAATACGTGTTAACTGACTATGTTATCAGTAAGGCTCTGGGTCAACGGTAGGCTATTAGTAGTTACATTTGCGGGGGATCAAAAGTTCTATGCTGATCTCCGACTGTCAGGGGGTTGGTGCCCCTCACCCTTGAATTATTCAAGGGTCAGCATATTTTCCTAATTCAGCGTGTGTGCAAGTGTGTATCTGAAAGGGTGTCACTCGTTAGGTATGTATTTAGAGTGTGTGTCCAACTCTATTTCAGGGCCTCTATTGGCTGTTCACTGGTGATTCTAGGGTAGCCAAACCTTCTATAACAACAACAGGAAAGGGTTAGGAGTCCCTTTGGTGTAGGGCTGTCAGCAGGAGCCCAGCCTAGGAGGGTGGGCAGAGGACAGTGGGTGTGGAAGGAGGCAGCTTCCCTGAGGAGTAGGGGGATAGAATCTTCCACTCTGGCCAGGTTTCACTGTCTCTCCACCTCACCCATTCCCACCCCCGCCAAACTTTCCAAAGGATCCCCAACCATTAGAGAGAACTGAGGCAGGTTCCAGATTCAACCCCTCTAACCTAGAAATCCCACCCTGATACTTCTAGGGGAGCGAGGGAAGGGAGCGGTCCCTGTGGTTCAGCCCAGTCCTGGGGTTGAGAGATCAGAAAGGCACCATCCCACCCCTTCCTTCAGAGGCGTCCATCTCAGAGCTCAGCATCTGGGTGGCCATGGGCGGAGGCTGAGGGGCCCCCAGGGTGGTGGGGGGTGGTGGATAGAAACCAGATGCCTAGGGGGTTTATACTGGAAGGACCAGAGCCGCAGCCTCTACCCGCCCCTGCCACATGGCGCCTCTGCCTGGGCTGCCCCACCCCCTGGGAGGCTGGGCTGAGGGAGGCCTGTAAGGGTGGAGGCAGGTCCTTGGTCAGGGCTCCCAGTTGCTGCCCCTAGCCCCTGGGGGCACTGGGAAGGGGGGGTAGGGGTCTGAACCCAGGAATACCAGGGCCTCAGCTGGGCAGTAGGACTATCTTTAAAAAGGGCGTGGAAGATGGGGCGCCTGGGTGGCTCAGTCGTTAAGTGTCTGCCTTCGGCTCAGGTCATGATCTCAGGGTCCTGGGATCGAGCCCCGCATCAGGCTCCTTGCTCAGCGGGAAGCCTGCTTCTCCCTCTCCCACTCCCCCTGCTTGTGTTCCCTCTCTCACTGTCTCTCTCTCTGTCAAATAAATAAATAAAATCTTTAAAAAAAAAATAAATAAAATTCAACACTAAAAAAAAGGGTGTAGAAGAAGTCAGAACCCAGGGTCCCAAGGGAGGCAGCTGGGGGCTTCAAGCAACCTCTCTGCCTGGCTTTGGCACTGACCTTTGGGAGGGGGCTCTGTGTCCAGGCACTATCCTACTGGGGGTAACACATCAGGGACCCTTGGCACACATATTTCTGGGAAACTTGCTCCTTCCTTTTCCTTCCCCAGCACTCCTGCCCCTTCCCAGGTAGGATAAGGGATAAGGCCGCCAAGGGAAGTGGAAAAGGTTGAACTCTGCCTCCCCACCTCCTCTCCCCAGCCCTGCACCTCCATTCATCCTGCTTTGTTTTCCGTTCAGTCTCTTCCTTTCTTTCCCAGTCTAGGCTGAGCTCCAACCCCTTCTCTCACCTGCCACCTCTTCTCTATTCTGGAGTCTAGACTTTTCTCCTCTGCCTCAGTTGCCTGCCTGATCCAACTGGTCTCAGGCTTTTTTGCTGGCTGTGCAGTAATTTCTCCAAAGCTTCGCCTTCATCCTAGCTTTGGAGTGGGGGGCCCAGAAATCCATCTGGCACCTCAGCCTCAGATGCCCCCACCAGGGGGAGACTGGGAGGTCACAGGGACACCCCACCACGGGCACTTCCTCTCGGGCAGACGGGTGGGGTGGCCCGTGTAATCATCGGACACAATTATGCGCTATTTATACTCCATCCCCGCCCCCCACCTGCCCAGCCGCTTAACCCTCTGCCTCCTCCAGACCTGGCCATGCCTCGGCTATTTTCTCTGTTCTGTCCTTCCAAGCCATTGTTTCTATCTTTGTTCTTCTGGGCCCGTTTCTTTTTCTTTTCCTCCCCCCACCCCCCCTGCTTTTTTAAAGCCAAGCAGCACCTGATCTTCTGTTGCCCTCTTGTCTCTTTCTCTTCTATGTCCCACAGCGTCTCTTCTGGTTCTCTTGATTGTTTTGTTTTGTTTTTTTTTAAGATTTTATTTATTTATTTGACAGAGAGAGACACAGAGAGAGAGGGAACACAAGCAGGGGGAGTGGGAGAGGGAGAAGCAGGCTTCCCGCCGAGCAGGGAGCCCAACGTGGGACTCGATCCCAGGACCCTGGGATCATGACCTGAGCCGAAGGCAGACGCTTAATGACTGAGCCACCCAGGCGCCCCTCTCTTGATTGTTTTATTTGTTCTGTGTATCTCTGGGTCTTTCTGCTCTTTCTTTCTTTTTTTTTGCTTCCTTTTCCGTTTGTCAGCCAGACACCCTGATTCCCTAACCCTTTCCCTAAATGCTAGGCCCACAGGGTTCCTTGGGGAATTCACATCATGGGTCTGGAATCCAAATGCCTGGTCCTGAATTTTGATCCTGCCTGCTGGTTCAACTGCACTTAACTCTCCCTGGACCTCCAGGGTGCTCCTCCCTCCTCCCCACCTTATCATCAGTGAGAGCAAAAGGAGCAGGGAAGTGGGCACGCAAGGGGAGAAAGTAAGGGAACTGTGTTGGGAAGTGAGGGGAGTGGGGAATGACATGTCTCCTTTCCTCTGATGGACTGAGGCTAGGAGGGGCTGAGGGTTACGTTGGGGAATAACTTGCAAAGGAGCCGTGGCTGGCTGGGCCCCTCTGTGGGAGAGACGCTACCCACTGGTGACCCGGTCCCCTCTTTCCCAGAAACTTACCTGAGGGCCCAGATTTCAGGCCATAGACTTTTTGGGTTTCCTTCTCCCAACCTAATTGACCTGCCTTCTTTTCTTCCCCATTTTGATGAGAAGTCACCGTTGGGAAGTCCTGCTGTAGCTCTAACTTCAATTCTGCCTGCTGCAAGAGGGCACTGATGCATGACAATGACAAAGGGAACGGGGAGCTCCCTCCCAGGAAAGCATGACCACTCAGAACTATCCAGCAAAGGATGGAGATTTGATATATGGCCAAGAGGAGCCGGGGGATGGTAACTGGCAAGGAATAACGAAGGCCAAGGCTTATCTTTTTGGGGAGTGAATCCAGAGGGGCTAGGGTCAGGCACAGATGAGTTGACCCAATGACCTTCCACCTCCACCCTCACTCCTGCCCACCTTCAATTTTCTTAGAATCAAAAGATCCAGGTTCTGCCCCACAAAGGGAGGTAGGCCTAGGTGCTACTTTCGAGGAGTGAAACTGAGGCATTGGGAAGAAGATTGGGGAGCGCCTGAGCCTGTGCCAAGCCCTCCTCCCACTCTCCGCCCCTCCTCCAGGCCTTGCTCTCTAACCTACCTCAGTGACCCTAAAAGTTTAGGCAGCTGAGGCCTCCACCCAGAGCACGGCCTCCCTCCTGTCTCTCACCACACACACACACGCACACACACGCACACACACGCACACACGTGTGTGTGTACACATGCACATACACACTGTTCTCCTGATCTAGGGGTGCATGTGGCGGGGGAAGCAAGCGTCTCTGTGGTCAGCTCGGGGGGGGGGGCACCCCCAGCCATGTCACTGTGCCCGTTCGTGTGTGTTTGTCTGTGTCCGTTCACGACAGCGGCGGTGGCCGTGTGTGCGGACGTGTGCACGTATCATCCTGTGTTTGTCCATGAGTGTGTCTGTCAGTGTGTTCCAGTCTCTCTGTGTGAGTGTCGTCCCCAACCCCCCCTCCCCCCCCTGGATCTCTAATTAGTGGTTTGGGGTTTGTTCCTTTTCCCTCCTGTTCCTTCCCTCAGCGGCAGTAGGAGATCAGCGGCGTTGGCGGCGGCGGCGGCCAGGACTCTGGAGTCAGAGTAGGACTGTAGGATCGCAGCCCGAGTGGGAACAGGAGTGCAGCTGGCCTGGGAGAGGAGCAGAGCCCTCCCGGGGCCCTGAGGTCACCCCTTGCCCGCACTCCCACTGCCAGACCTCCAGGGAGGAGAGACCCCCGGACACCCAGCCCCAGAGCCCCCAGGTACATGACACTGGGGAGCCCTGGGAGGGGTGCCCACAGATGCCTATGGGATTGCTGGGGGCGGGGTGAGGGACACCTGGGCCCACCGTCCCTTTGATTCCCCCCCCAGCACCTCCCAGGACACCCTGACAACTTGCCCATGGCCCTACCCTCCTCCTGCTTCCACCCCCTTCCCTGGAGCCCTGTTTCTCCTCTCCCGCCCAGATCCCTTCTTTGGGGAGCTCAGCAAATGGAGCAGGAAATTTGGACCCTCTGCCTCCCTCTCTCGCCCTGCTCATTGGATCCGGAGCCTTCTCCGCTGGGAAAGCTGTAATTAGAGGGTGGATCCCTACAGACAGAGAGCAGCCCCCCCCACCCCCCACCCCCCAGTCCCTTCTAACTTTAGATCTCTTCTCTCCCATTCTCCCATTCTCCCTCCCTCTCCCTCTCCCTCTCTCTCCGGCTCGGCTGGCTCTCTCCATCTGCCTGGCTCCTTGGGACCTGTTCCCCAGCCTCAGGATGGCATCCTCCCTGCTTGAGGTAACTGCCCCCTCCTCCCCCCAGGACACCAGCGACAGTCCTAATGGCCCTAATCCCTGCCCGCACCCCCCCCTCCCAACTCACACAGACAGTGGCTGTGGTGCTTGTCACTTCCAGGGTCCCCCTGATGAGGAGAGAGGACTGGGCTCGGGGTGGGTGGGAGGGGCGGGCAGGAGGAAGGGTTGGAGAGAGTGGGGCCAGGGGTCAGAGAGCAGTCAAAGGAAGATGAGAGGGGCCAGGTCAGAAGAAGGCATGGACCTCTGAGGTCCGCCCCGCACGCCAACCCTGAGGAGTGGTCAGGGATGGAGAGAGGAGGAAGAGGAGGGGTGGGAGGTAGGTCAGCCTGGCAGACGGGGGGAGAGAGTGAGCGGGCTGGTGGAGTGGGCACCAGGCAGCAACTGGGGTGCCTTGGGGGTCCCGTCTCCGGGAGCTCCTAGCCTGAGCCTGAGCTGCAGCTGGTCTGGTTTGTAGTGGGCAGGGACTGGGCCTCCGGGCCAGTGTGTGTAGAGGAAGAGGTGAGCTATGGGAGAGGGGAGAAGGGCAGTCCTGTGCATGTGGGGGCGCTGACCAGAGGAACTGGGCCTGGGCCTGAGAGGGAACCAAGGAGGAGGGCCAGGGTCTGAGGCCGCCTGCCCGGCTCACAAATATTTAGCTTTCAGCCAAAGACAAACTCAGCTCTATTTTGGGAGTGGGAGGCTCCAGGGCGGCCTGGGCCACTTCCCCTACGGGCTGGGACCCCAGCATCCCTTGCCTTTGGCACTGGGGATGGAGGGAACTAGGGTACCGTGGAGGTCAGATTTGGGGGTTTTGAGAAATCACTGACTCAACCAGGGGTTCTGGGGGACCCCAGGTGCATAGTTGGAAGGGAAGGACTCAGAGCCACTTAGAACGTCCTGAGTTCTCCTTGCTTCTGAGTCTGACTCTGTTTCTCTGTCATCATCTCTGTCCTGCTTTCTGGGTCCCTCCACAGGAATTTGGAGCCAGAGAGTCCTCCCTTCAGGTCACCCATCTTCAGTCGCCCCTCAGAAGCACCCACCTCTGCTCCCAGTGCCCTAGCTCAAGTCCCAGGGGTCATGGGCCAAACGGGAAGCCGACTCATTCAGCCTGTAGGAGAGGTGTGTGTGTGAGATGGAGCGGGAATCTTTCGGCACCTGTGTTCATTGGCTTGGGCGTTAAGTGTTAGGATGTAAAGCAGCGTGCCTGCACGCACGGCTGGCTCTGTGAGAGCGCAGGGGTGTGTGTATGTGTGGCAGCTGGGCCATCCGAGCATCTGCTGGTCCAAGTGAGGACTGGTGTGTGGGGAAGTCTGGGAATGGTGAATTTGAGACTGAGTCTGAAGGAATGGCATGCAAGCCAGTGGGGTAGACACGACGCCCCTCGTCACTGTTCTGTATGCAGTCAGGGGTCCCCAGGCATGATGCTCTACTGCTCTGAGGGCAGATTGCTCGCCCTGCTGTCCCCCCACCAGACTCTATATTGAGCCATCACTGAAACCCTGCGGTTGGTCTTGAGGAAGCTTCAGGACCAAGGTGCATGGAAATCCTGGGGCCATCCAGGGCAGGGGCAGTACCAGTGGGCGTGGGCACCATGCCAGAGTTGCCAGCGTGGCACTGGTGCCTGGGGGAGGGGCTGGCCCTGAGGCCTGCAGGAAAGGCACAGGATTGGGATAGCACTTGGCAAGAGGAGTGTGTCCAGGCATCCAGGCCTTCATGTCCCTCACTGCTGGTGAGCTGGAGATGCGCCCTCAACACAAAGGCATTCCAGTCCCTCTGCCTGTTTCTCCTACTTTTGGGGCACTCGGGCCCTCAACGGTCCCTCTTCCCCACCCAGGAAACCCTCTGCCTTGTATGGGTGGGCTCTCTGGCGGTGCAAAGAACTTGGGGGTTCCGAGAGGGAAGCAGCTGCTGCCCGATGAGAGGCTCACCTGGGACGAGTGAGCTGCAGGGGAAGAGGCAGGAGGGAGAAATGGGGGTGAGGGCCAGGTGGGGATGGAGAATTGGAAGTGGGGAGGACCGAACAACGTGGGCAGAGGCAGAAAGTGGAGAACGGCACCCGGGAACTTGGGTGCTCAGAGTGGATGGCCGGCTGGCCCTCAGATGTAGAGTGAGCTTCCGCAGGAGGTCAGCGGGGCACTGTGAGCTCCTGGGAGAAAGGCTCCCACTTTCCCCAGCTGGGCTGCGCCTATGAGTGAGAGAGCTGGGACAGCTCCTTGTTCTTTCTCTGGAGACTCCTTGCCAGTACTTTCAGCCTGCTTTTATTGTTTTAGCGGAAGGTTGGGTGGAGGTAGGAGAAAAACAACTGGAAGGTGGGACTCCTGGGCCCCTGGAAAAGGAATACATGTGATCAGGTATGGGGGCGCATGTGTAGGACCCTCTCAGGAGCGCGCAGGCAGCTGGAGAAGGAAACTGAGGCGCAGCGAAGGGGTGCCCAGTTCTTGGCCTCCAGAACCCATCAGAGTGGGACTGGTGCCTTGCTCCCACTTCCCTGCTCTCAGGGCCCTAGGGGCCTCTGCTCCAGGGCCGGGGTCTCCTGTTGGCCTGGGGCTGCTTGCCTTCTTTCACCCCTCCTTCCCTCTCCCCAGCTGGGTGGGGTCCCTGGGCTTGGCGGAGGCCCCTGTGGCCACAGTGTGAGGGCCAGGCGGGGGGGGACGGCGTCGGCGTTTTTAAAAATAAACCGACCGCAGGGAAACCAACGGAGCCGGGCTGGGCCAAGGGGGAGAAGCGGTCAGGGGGAGAAGGAGGGAGGAGTGGCCTGGTCTGGGGGTTTTCTGGGGCCCAGCATCGTGGTGGTTTTTCTCTTAGGTAGGAGATCTGTCTTCTCCCCCTCCCCCTTTTCTGTTTTCTTCCTTCTCTCTCTCCCTCTCTGTTTTCCTCCGCCTTCCTAGCCCAGGCTCTCTCCATCACTTCTTTGTTTATTCTGCTTCCCTCTCTCTCCCTGCCCTTTGTCTTTTCACCTTTCTGCTCTTTTGGGTCTCTGCCCATTTCTGCCCCTTACTGCCAGTTTTCCCCTCTGCTCCCCCTCCCCCACCCCCAGTGGCTTCTTCGTCTGTGCCTCACCCTGGGCAGGGTCTCTCGCTCCTCCTGGTTCTGGGTCTCTGCCTCTCTCCTTCTCACTCCGTGGTTTTACCTTTCTGCTAGGCTTTGAGTCCTGCCCCACCAGCTACCCTTGCCTCAGCTTACCCTCTGCTTGGGAGACAGGGGCTCTAGGGAAACTTTGGCTAGGGAGGACCCAGGGCTTTTCCCATAGCCGGATTTCAGGAAGGTTTTGGTGGCTCAAATCTGGGAGTCTGTGGGGTCGACAGGACCTCAGAAAGAGGTGACTGGGCAGGGGAGCGGCAGGTCTGCACTTGGGGAGCAGTGCGGGAGTGATGAGGGCATAGACCCCTCGCTGCAACCTTAAAACCCCAAACGTAGCTGTTGGATTGGTGTCACGCACACACACATGCTGCATGCTCAGAGGGACCAGGCGGGTCTTGGACGCCTGGGTTCTTTTTCAGCTGGGAAGGTACCAGATACATCAGCTTTTGAGAGCCGCAGTCAGGGAACTGTACAGGGTCAGCTTTTGAGGGCATCTTTTTGGATGGGATTCTCAGAAATGGATGTCTGTACCAGCCCCGGATTCTGGAGGGTATCTCCTCCTGGCACGTCCTGAGGCTGACCCAGGGAGGGGTACCATGAGCTCCTGACGGATGGGCATCTCAGGGTGGTTTGGCCTGGTCGCAGCAGCATGATGAGCATTAAGGGCATTTTGTGTTTCTCAAAGAGCCCCATGCCCCACATCTACGTATCTTCTTTCACTCACGGTGCTGCAAGGGTGAAGAGAGACCAGCTACATGTGTAGGCTACATGGTAGGGGACACTGGACATGGAGGAGTGTGGCTGTGAGCCCATATCTTAGCCATCCCAATTCCCGGTCCTGGAGGGGTGTGAGGACTTTGGGCTCCTCCGGCCTTCCCAAAGGGGTACCAGCTGGCTCCACAAAGCAGGAGGTGCCCACTGCCCGCTTGAAAGACATTCTTGCCTCAGCCACAGTCCTGGCTTGGCCACAGCCCTGTTCCCTCTCAATGTCCCAGTGTCTCCGCGTCGCTTCCTCTTGCACCCCAGCCCTAGAATCCCTGCCAAGAGATTCCTTACCAAGGACATGAGGCTGCGGCCTCAGGGAGACCAGGCCACTCACTGCCGTAGTCAAGAGCTGAGGCAGAGACAGGAAGTGAAATATGGGGTAAAGCTGAGCAAATCTGGAGTGGGGGCAACTGCAGTCCCCTAATACTTCATTTTCTCCCCGTGTTACTCTTTGAGCCTCATCTTTCCTCTCCAAGTCTCTGACCAAGGCCCTTGCTCTGAACCCACTTCCAGGGGTAGGACCCCTAATTCTCACCTCACCTAGGTCCTGCATCCATCCTCGGCTCTTCTCGTGGCTATTTAAGCAGCGTCTCCTGTTCCTCTGAGGCGCCCCGGAACCCCAGCAACTCCACAGTGAGCTCTGCCTCCTGCCTCCTGGATCAGGTTGTTAGGGTGCAGTCTGGACCTGGCTCTCCTCCCCACGACTCCATCTGAGCTCTGCCTTGGGGCCTCGTGTTCACTGGCCCCTCCACCTCTACCTCCCATCCTCTTCAACTCTTCCTGGACCCCTTCGTTCTGCTCTCTACATCTCTAGTTTTGCCCTTCCTTCTGCACTTGTCCTCCTCTCCCCCTAAGCCGTGCTTCCCTCTGTCCACAGGAGGAAGCTCACTATGGCTCCAGTCCCCTGGCCATGCTGACGGCAGCGTGCAGCAAATTTGGTGGCACCAGCCCTCTGCGGGACTCAGCGACACTGGGCAAAGCAGGCGCCAAGAAGCCATACTCTGTGGGCAGTGACCTTTCAGCCCCCAAAACCATGGGGGATGCCTACCCAGCCCCCTTTTCAAGCACCAATGGGCTCCTCTCACCTGCAGGCAGTCCTCCTGCACCCACCGCGGGCTATGCCAATGACTACCCTCCTTTTTCCCACTCATTCCCTGGGCCCACAGGCACCCAGGACCCTGGGCTACTAGTGCCCAAAGGCCACAGCTCTTCTGACTGCCTACCCAGTGTCTACACCTCTCTGGACATGGCGCACCCCTATGGCTCCTGGTACAAGGCAGGCATCCACGCGGGCATCTCACCGGGCCCAGGCAATGCTCCTACTCCTTGGTGGGACGTGCACCCCGGGGGCAACTGGCTAGGTGGTGGGCAGGGCCAGGGTGATGGGCTGCAGGGGACACTGCCCACAGGCCCTGCTCAGCCTCCACTGAACCCCCAGCTGCCCACCTACCCGTCCGACTTTGCCCCCCTTAATCCAGCTCCCTACCCAGCTCCTCACCTCCTGCAACCAGGGCCCCAGCATGTCTTGCCCCAAGACGTCTATAAACCCAAGGCAGTGAGCAATAGCGGGCAGCTGGAGGGGAGCGGTGGGGCCAAACCCCCTCGGGGGGCCGGCTCCGGGGGCAGTGGTGGATACGGAGGCGGTGGAGCAGGGCGTTCCTCCTGCGACTGCCCCAACTGCCAGGAGCTAGAGCGCCTGGGGGCGGCAGCAGCTGGGCTGCGGAAGAAGCCCATCCACAGCTGCCACATCCCAGGCTGCGGCAAGGTGTACGGCAAGGCCTCGCACCTGAAGGCCCACTTGCGCTGGCACACGGGCGAGCGGCCCTTCGTCTGCAACTGGCTCTTCTGCGGCAAGAGGTTCACCCGTTCGGACGAGCTGGAGCGCCACGTGCGCACCCACACCCGGGAGAAGAAGTTCACCTGCCTGCTCTGCTCCAAGCGCTTTACCCGAAGTGACCACCTGAGCAAACACCAACGTACCCACGGCGAGCCAGGCCCAGGGCCCCCTCCCAGCGGCCCCAAGGAACTGGGGGAGGGCCGCAGTGCAGGGGAAGAGGAGGCCAGTCAGACGCCCCGACCTTCAGCGTCCCCAGCACCCCCAGAGAAAGCCCCTGAAGGCAGCCCAGAGCAGAGCAACCTGCTGGAGATCTGAGCGGCGTGGAGGGTCTCCAGTCCCAGGGCTGCCTTGCCAGCCTCCCCCAGCTTCGTGGACCACTGCTTGCCCCTCACCCCCTTTGCCCTATGCATGCTGCCCTTGGGGCTCTTGCCATCTCTCCCCTGGCCGTTCTGGGCCTGGGTGTCTCCCAGCATGCCTCCTTAGCTCACCCCTCCCTTTGCCGTGAGCCTGTTCCGCAGACTCTCATCTCAGGCCCTCACCTTGTGCCTGATTTCTGCACTCTGGCTTCCTAAGATCTTCCCTTGCCCCTGCTCACAGCTTCCCTCTCCTCTGCTCTTACAACCCAACTCATTTTCCTTCCATCTGGGCTCCCAACACTTTCTTTCTCCAGCTCACTAACTCCTTGACAAGCATCCTTTCTGCTTCCCAAGCTTATTTACCACTATTGCTTAGCTTCCAGGCTCCAGTCTTCCCAGCTTCTTCTTCCACTTGCTTTCCATACTCCAGAGCATTTTTGTTTTTGTTTTTACAAACATAATGATAATGATGATGATGATGATGATAATTTATTGCCCCCTGGTGGCCTCTTCATTAGGGACCAGAGTTAGGGGGCTTGGGGTTAGTGACCTGGCAGGGAGCAGGGTGCCAGGAGGGGGGCAGACCAGTGGGGATCTGATCCCAAAGATGGGGTGACCCCAGGGTCAGGGAGGCTGCCCCCAGGCCTGTATATTTAACCCCTATGTTCCAAGAGAAATGAATACTAATAATAATAATAATTCTATTTATCTAAGTTATGATGACAGGTCAGGTAGAGTGAGCTGGGGAGGGAAGGAGATCCATTTCTGCTATGGAAATTTTAGCTAAGTGTATCTCTGTATAGAAGAAGTGTTAGTGGAGATCTTGTTAATAGAATTTCTATCATCAGGGTCTCAGTTAATGGGGTTTCTCTTTTAATAGAATCTCTGCTAATAGGGTTGGTTAGCTAGATCTCTGTTAAAGAGTTGATGGGGTGTCTCTCAATTAGGGAATCCCTAATATTCCCAGCCCCAGCCTGAAGCTGTGAAACCTCAAGTCCTATGGAGGGGAGGACTGGAATGTACCCCAGCTCCCTTGACCCCAGAGCAAACGGTTCTTCCACTGCCCCTCCCCTGACACCATGACCCCATCAGGCTAATCCCTTGTTGCCATGGTTATGGAGAGCTTGCAGCTGCCATCCTGGACATGCTCTTTGGGGAAGCCCACCTAACAGGAGGAGCACACTGCTTTGGAGGTGCCTCTCCTGAAGAATAGGTGGGGGAGGCTTTCTCTGGGATCAGATTCAAATAAATCAAGTATTTATTGAGTGCCTATTCTGTACAAGGCACTGCTAGGCTGGTGCCTAGAAGCCATGAGAAAGAGGAATTTATAGAGCTAGGAGGACAGAGGTCCCCGAGCTGATTTGGGGTTGCATCCCCAGGCCCCCAACCAGGGACTTCCAATGCCCCCAGCTCCACCTCTGGTTACTTTTAAAGCCGCTTCGTGCCTTTGAATGCCTTTCCTGTGACTTTGGATCCTCCTTTCCTATCTCCTGCTCCCTCAAGGCCCCAAGTTAAAGGGTTAAAGCCGCTGGAGCTTGGGGAGAGGGTAATATTGTGGAAGGGAAAGGATCATGCCCTCATGGAGTCTTTTTTTTTTTTTTTTAATTTAATAAAAAGTTCGATTTTAAATTTTGTCCTGGTGAGAAAAGAGAAAGAGGAAGGAAGAAGAGTGAGCCACAGGATTTTTCCCTGGCAAACTGGAGACTCCCCACGGGCATCCTATCGTGCACATTGGCACAGTGTGCCCGCGGCAGAACGCTCCGTCGGCCAGGCCCTCGGGCTGAGGTCAGTTTTTGAGCGGCCAGAGCTCTCCGTCGAGCTGGGAAGGCGGGAGGTTTCTTCCCCGGCTGTCTCCCGGCCTCTGCCTCCCGACCCCGGCCGGGGCAGGGCCCCGCGGTCGCGGTCGCGGCGCGGACTACTGCGCGGCCCCGAGCGGGGTCCCGGCGCGCGGCCCCGGCCTGGCACGTAACCGCCCCCTGCCCCCGGCCTGCAATCAGCCGTGCCCGCCGCCGAGTTAGCGGACGAACAAAAGCCACTCTGTGGCGGCCAGCCCGCAGCCACAATAGGGCTTTGTGCGGCCCCCGCCCCCGGGCTCCCCCGCGGGGCTGAGGGGGCGCACGGGCGGCGCCCCCGGCGACCATCCTCTCCAGCCCCCCCCCCGGCTCGGGAGGCGCTGCGGGCGGGCTCGGGAGCCCCCCCCCCGGCTCGGGAGGCGCTGCGGGCGGGCTCGGGCGGCCAGCCCCCTTCTCAGCCTGCCGCCGCGGCCGCCCCGGCCAGGTGCGAAGCCTCCTGCCTTGAGGCGGGGCGCGCCGCTTCAGAGGCGCTTCGAAGAGGGCCGCGTTCCGGGGCTCCTCCCGCGGGCGAGGGTCGGGGGCAGCGGCGGAAGAGACGCGCTCTGGGGGCGCGACCGAGGGGCGGGGGTCCCGGGCTCCCGCCCCCACCCCGCCGGGCAGGCTCCTCGGGACCCCCCAGGGCCTGGCCCTCTCGCCTCCCGGTCCCCGCCTGCCCGGTGCCAGCCCCCGCCCGCCGCGGCCTCGCGGTCCTCCCCTCCCGGCCCCTCGGCCCCTTTCATCTTCCCTAGACTCCGCTTGGGGTTTTGCTGGTTTCTGGGAGATAAAAACCGCCTCAAATAGCGGCGGCGCGCTGCCAGGACAAACAGGGCCGGGCGGGCCATGTGCGCCTGGTTACCGGCCCTGAGCCGGGGCGCCGGGCGTCGGCGGGCCGAGCTCCGGGCACCCAGGCTCCGGCGGCGCCTCCCGCCTTCCTAAGTCGGGGACCCCTTTAGAAAACTTGGGCAGTGGCCCGGCGCTGCCTCGGTTTCCCGCCCAGGTGGTAGGGTGCTCCCCCCACTCCCGGCCCGGGAGACCGCCCGCTGAGCGCTCTGAGTCCGTGGGGCGGTGGGTCACCGTCGCTGTGTCGCTGGGGCCGCCGCGCCCCCTGGTGAAGTGAGTGGGGAGTGCGCTAGGCCTGGATGTGGGCCTCCCAAGAATCCGCAAACCCCGAAAAACACTGAACAAACGTTAAGTAAGTATGGGGGAGGCGGGGGCCGAACAAGAATACACAGCGCACTGTTCCTCCTCCCCAGTTCATATTACAGGGTGAGAGGCAGGAACCTAACTCGGTAATTACAACACAACCTGTTAGTAGGAATCAGGCTTCACCGAAGGGACGTGCAAGTTGCAGGCCCAGTCCGCAGTGATTTCTTCGGGGGGGGTCTCTGGGGTTGGATGGTGGCATGATTGAGTACAAACAAAAACTTTGTGGGTAGGTTCTCGGTGCTCTTCACTAATCTGTCAGAGTCAGGGCTCCCTGTCTTCCTTCAAAGCCTGCACTGCTTCCCTCTTTCAAGGAGAGCTTTCTCAGCAAGTTTCCCCAAACTACCCTGTTTTTACTCTATGCTCTTTAAGCTTTCCGTGACTTTCCAGGTGACTGTGCACTAACCTAGAAAATTAAACTGGGGCTACTCAAAATTTGGTCTGTGCAGTATCACGTGGGGGGCGTTTTGGAAATACAGCTTAAGAGCTCCACCCCAGAATCTGCATTTTAGCAAGATCCTCCAGTGTGTCTATGTTCACTAACATTTGGGAAGTACTAGAGTAGAGGAGACCCATGGCTTTCTCTGTGGTAAGGGCATTTTCAGAGAAGCCTTCTGGAGCCTTCCTGTTTTCTGACTCTGGAATAACTCTTCTTGGTGGCAACTTTTCATGTAAAAAGGAAGAGCAGACAGAGCCGAGGATCGCTAAACTTAGAATGCCCCCTAGATTCTCCAACTAGGGCAACTCTTGGGAATGGGGACTATGCTTTATATATTTCTTTGTCCCCAGAGCATGGTCGTTGGAATTGCCCATTAACCCTTATTAAATGAATAAACCAAAGCCCAAGGTCACCGAGTTCATGGCAAAGTTATGGCTAATCAAGTGTTTAGTACTTAAAAAAATTTTTTTAAAGATTTTATTTATTTATTTGACAGAGAGAGACACAGCGAGAGAGGGAACACAAGCAGGGGGAGTGGGAGAGGGAGAAGCAGGCTTCCCAAGGAGTAGGGAGCCCGATGCGGGGCTCGATCCCAGGATGCTGGGATCATGACCTGAACCGAAGCAGACGCTTAACGATTGAGCCACCCAGGCGCCCCTAGTACTTAAAATTTATTAAATGGCTTCATTTCCATTATTTCGTATGGGAAGCAACCATGGGAAATAATTAGGACACTGCAAAAGTGAGGAAGTTGAGGCCCAAAGAATTCAGACTTTCCCAAAATCACACAGCTTTAAGAAGAGGGGCCTCCATTCTGCATTCTAGTTCCAACCTTTGGAATCAGAATAAAATCAATCTCACTTTTCTTCTTTGATATTTAAAAGAGAGAG